GCTTACATGTTTGTTGAATGAGTGAATGAAGGAAGGAATAAATGAGTGCATGGAGGGAAAGTGGGCAGAGGGCAGAGCTAGCTGAATTCTAGTCTTAAGGTCCCAAGGTCCTTTATCCGCCACCATTTGTCAATCCCCAAACTATCTTTGACAAAACTCAGCATAAACCGGGAGACTGATAAAAATAGGAAGGAGCATGTTGCTGAAAAAACTGTGGAGATACCCGTGAGGTTTGGATTCACAGCTTCTTGACAAATGCTCTAAAGTTGCTGAAAATGCACCAGAGTCCAAGGGGAGTAGCGCCCCCAGGGCTCAGTGCTTGGTATATACACCAGGCTTTCAGGAGACAAAGCAAGTGGTTCTCCCCACTGAGAGAAACATCTGGGGGTGTGCCTGGGCATGAGGGCTCCAGGGCATTGCCCCAGGGTTCAGTGACCCCAACTCTCTCCGGCCTTGGATGTCCAGACCCCCCTTGTACTCTAGTTGGTTTATTATACACCTGCTGTATGCATGGCACTGAGAATATAGAAATGATTAAGCATAACCACGGTTCTGAAGAGCCCACAGTACAGGGTAGGAAAAGCTGAAAAGTGGATCCTTTGAAAACACAGCTTGAGGAGGGACCATACCAGAGTTTTTATTCTCACATCTGGCACAGTATTTGGTACATGGAAGACAATGAATAAATCCTTGAATTAATTAATTTGCAGATACGTGTCTTGATGTAGGATGCGCAGTTATCTCAGAATGCCCGGGCCCTAGCCAGTTTAGAGAGTCAGCCCACAGACTGAAGGGTCGCAGGTTCGATTCTTGTATGTTCCTCCGTTGAAGGCCTGATCCCTGGCCCCACTAGGGATGTGTGCGGGAGGCAACCTACCGATGTGTCTTTGTCACATCGATGTTTCTCTCTCTCTCTGTCTCTCCCCTCCTTTCCACTCGCAAAAAATCAATGGAAAAAATATCTTCTGGTGAGAATTAACAAAACAAACAAAAAAGAACGCCCAGGAAAGACCCGGACTCACAATGGCGGTGGTGGGTGTCGGAAAAACTTCCTGGACAGGATGGGGGACAGCATCAACGCTACAAAGGCTGGCAACTGCACCCTCCATGTCATTTGCTGTAAGAGCATGAAGTGAGGGCGGGAGTCAGGGGAAGTGAGGCTGGAGGAATCCTGCGACGGAGCCACTGCACCGGGAGGACCTCACATGCCCTGTGGAGAGTGGAGGCTCCACGATGAATCTCGAATCTCGTGCGTGTTTGGGTGGGTG